CATCCGTATCATCATCGGTCATATTTTGCACATCTCCTCCTTGCATATGCAAGGGAAATGGATCAGGTCGACCACCCTCATTTTCAGCTGCCTCCTGGACTTGCAATGCTAATTCAAGGCCACCAACTACATCATCCATTCCCGGTCGTTGAATCCCTTGATCTTTCAAACAATTAATGGCCGTTTCAGCAAAAATCCTCAAACACTGGGGAGCAATCTCGCCCTTTACATCTGGGTCCACGACTCGATGGATAATCCCTTTTTTGTAACACTTCTTGGCCCATTCAGCCAAATTCACCTGCTCCTGGGGTAAGTCTAGAATAATAGGTGCCCGACCACACAAAACTTCAAACAAAACCACCCCGAATGAGTACACATCGGACTTGTCCGTCAATTGCTGTCTCGTGTAGTACTCGGGATCTATGTAGCCAAAACTCCCCTTGACCTGCGTGCTGATATGGCTGTAAATCCCACTTGGACCAAGTTTGGATAATCCGAAATCCGAAACTTTGGCCACCCATGCCTCGTCCAGTAATATGTTGGTTGACTTGACATCGCGGTGAATGATAGTGTGCTTGGTGCCCGTGTGGAGATAATCCAACCCTTTGGCGGCGCCAATGCAGATTTGAAGGCGTTGTTTCCATGGGAGCGGTGGATTGTCTGTTCTGTAGAGATGATCGCGGAGGGTTCCATTAGCCATATAATCGTAAACCAAGATCATCTCACCCTTTTCATCACAATAGCCTATCAAGGAAACCAAATGAAGGTGTCTTAAATTTGATAGCAACTCGATCTCGGTTTGGAATTCGCGGGCACCCTGTCTTGATGAAGGATTTAATCGCTTTATCGCAACCGTTGTTAGATTGTTGTCTATGTACCCTTTGTACACGTTTCCAAATCCTCCAGTCCCAATCACAAACTTGGCATCAAAGTTGGCCGTAGCGGATCCAATCTCCTCCAACAAAAATCTTCTAAGCGACGATGAGCCTGATGCTCCAGTCTTTGTTGACCTTGGCGGGCTTGAAAGTGGGGTCCAAGATGGGTTTGGAGCAGTTTTCTTGTCCACGTCTGTTACCCGTCTCTTCCATCGCCACCGGAAAAACAAGAAACCAATGATTAAAACCATGGCAGCCCCTCCTGCTGCCCCTCCTCCGATGGCAGCAAAAGGTACTCGAGATTTTCCACGATTCCCCTTGGGATCATGATTGGTCCCGTCAAGACTCCCGTCGGTGTTATTCACTTTGAACAATTCTAAGCCATTCAAGATTGCATCAGCGTACTTTGGTTTGGTATCAAGATTCGGGTGCAGACCAAGAAACAAGTCTTGCTTGGTCTGGCCATCGTCTGGTGGGTTTGGAACGAACACGAGGTAGTCTCTGAATACCGGGACTTCTGGGCCGCCTGCCCAATGTATAACATCAGCTTCTGGCTCAGCTATTCTATCACCGATAAATATTTTGAACAGCCGTTGGTTCTCCGCTGTAATCAAATCGGGATTAATCTCACAAAAATGCAACCTCATGAGATAATAAAACCCAGAATCAACAGGAAACATCCAGCTCAAGTTGAAGCTGGTGCTGAACTTTCCCATCGCCCTGGCAGTAGCATAAACAACTGGGGGTGCGGTGTAATTTGGGGTTTCTGTAGTGTACTTGATGGCACTGTCAGAATCGCTCAACTGATTTCCTTCATCTGTGCCCCAGAGGAATTTGAAATCGGAAGTCCATCTGCGGAACATCCCACTATCTTCCACCTCAGAAACAGCATTACCTCCTACGTTGAGCCTGTAAAGAGCTTCAAAGGCAGTTTTGTTCTGATCAAACTCAAACTGAACATTCGGATAATCCACGAATTTAAGGGGATTGTTGAGCATATCATGGTTGCCCATGTAGAGATCTTCCGGGGTTGAAACAACTTCAATTCCATTAACGAAAGCGTAGGAATTCGAAGAGGGAAAAAAGGTAACGTTGAGGAACTGATTCATATTCTGAATATTGATGATATATTCTTTAACAACGGAATTGATTATATGTTCTTCAAAAACAAAGGGTGGTGAGAATCCCTTGCTAGAAACTGTGAGATATGCGCTAAAGTTACTGAGAAGGGTGTAGTTATTAGCCCTGACATTGAAGAAAGAATCAGTTGTGTTGAGACCCCCGGAGTACGAGGTAGGGTAGAAGTAAAGGCGGAGAAACTTTTTGCCTAGGCTGACAGGGAAGGTGTAAGAGAATTGAGAACGGATGATTCGGGCACTTGAAAAAGGGACTCGGCTGACTGAGGAGTCTAGCTCAGTGGCTGTGACTGCTGATGAAATATTTGCCATGTCGTTTGGTGAGAATTTTGAGCCCACGTCGCCGTCCCATTTCCGGCCATCAACTGAGGTTGAATTCGAGGATGAGCCGCAGTTGATCAGGATATAATCTGTGGGGGTGTAAGGCGGAGTACTGCCAGTGGAAGCGATGACGAACAACAAATTGAAGAGAAAGCAGAGGTATACAAGAAGAGTGAACATTAGAGCAAAGACTTGCAAGAAAAAATTTCTGCTCAAATGTTCTGATGGAAAAATTGTTCGTTATTCCATTGAAGCGTAGGATTGGGATTTCGCCATTTGTCTTCAAGAAATGTTGTGGAATTTGAAGTCCCGAATTCAGATGAAGAAGGAAACGGTAGTAGAATTAACACCATGAAGTGAGGATGGCAGTTTTAGCTTGGACTTGTTAAGTTGGAAAAGTCAATTCATTGGTTCCATAACCCAACTCCGACCAAGTTTCTGGCTTAGAGTCATATACCCCACCACATGCGCATTATATCAGGGGCAAAATGGAAAAACAAAATTCTTCCCAATCAAAACTAAAAGAGAAAATGATGAATTTCATCCCTTATATTTTTACAAAATATTTTTTATGTCTCACATATTTAAAGCTTGTAAAATCTATACCCTTACAAGTTAGAGATGTACTACTAATTTCGTCCAAAAATCGAGTTTTTATCAACTTCTAGGCAAAGGGTTGAACACCCTAGCTACATTACAATATTTCAAGGCTATTAATCAACTAAATGACCAAAACAAAAGCAAACGGCGAATTCGACTGCAAATTGTTGCTTCGCTGACTGATACATATTTCATTATTTGAAGGAAATAGTAATGCATAGCCACCAAGCCAGAAAAATTCGACTGCAAATTGTTGATGTAGCTAGATAAAATTCTTCTATGTTTCAATGATGTTTACTTTTTTTTTTTCGCTTGCTCTACTTTTACACTGCTCTCATCTGTTGTTTTATCAACAGATTCATAGACGAATTTTTCCTGTTCCACGCATGATCATATTTTCTTCAAATAATCAACATGTATTAACTAGTGAAGCAACGAGATTCTAGTGCGACATCTACTTTTGTCTTCGTCATTTGGTTGACTAATAGGCCTTGAGATGATTTACATTTGGTTGGGTATGAAAGTATATAGAGACATGGTCAGGCTGAATGTTCTCGGGTGGAAAGTTGATTTAGATTTGGTTGTGGGATGAAATTGGTACATGTTCAAAATGACAGGGATGGTTTTGCATTCCTTTGAATGTGATGCATGAAAGAAATATTTTCAAATAGGTGAGGGACAAAGTTGGTCATTTCCTCATTTAATTTTAAAGGGGAAGAGTTTTACCTTTCGATTTTGCCCCTAATATATTAAGCGCGTGATTGGGGTATGTAATTCTTAGTTGGAGAGTTGATCGAATTTGATTTATGGGATTAAAGTGGTATATTTCCAAAATATAGGCATTATTTTATGAATTAATTTTCTATACATCGACATCATATACACTTTCACCATTAGATGCATGACATGTAATCCGGATTTGAATTTGAAACTCAAATTTTGCATATGTGTCGTATATCCGATCGTGATAGTGAATACATCATCAGTGTATAAAAGATTTACTCTTATTTTATACCATTGTAAGTGTGGGGCACGGAAAAATCTTTTCTAAAAAATAAGGGACTAATTGGGTCTTTTTTTCATTTTTTTTTGGGCGAAGGTGGTTGGTACAAAAATCTATTTACCATATCTGTGAGAATGAAATAGGAGGATTTACATTTAATTGATCAGAACTTGATTTTGGGGTGCAGAGATGCTGAGAACATCCATGATAATTTAGCAAGAAAGAAGGAATAAGGACATAGAAGTTTTCTCCTTTCTAGTGGTGGGGTTAAATTCTTATCATTTCTTGTCATCCTCGAGCAAGTCTTTTGAGCAACGTTACTTTTTTTAAATTCAAATGATCGTCATTTTTAGAAGACAATTGTAAGTTATCTTTGAAATTACAATGACTAAAATTATCTTTTTCTATCGAAAAAAATATCAAATTATACTGTAAACATTAACAATTATTATGTATATCTTGGTTCAGGTGCTCATTTCCCTTTATCATACAATGTAAAGGAATGGTCTGTCCTTTGGAACATCCAATAAAATTGGAACGATATAGAGAAGATTTGCAAAGACTATGCAAGTGTGACACACAAAAATGAGAAAAAAAGGATGGTCTAATTTTTTATTGGTGTTGGTTGTATGGTTGGGTATTGAAATACAACTCGAAAAAAGATTGGTGGATAAAATCAAAAGATGCTAATGGTGTTGGTTCTATACTTAGTTGCTGCTGATGCTAACATTGTTTATAGTTATATGTGCACATACGACATGGGATATCCACTTGGGCAGATCATATCATAGTGATTGGTTGGGGGGGGGGGAGGGTGTTCTACGTTCCAGCCCGTTTGATGATGCATTGTCAATTGAAAGTAGCAGCCAATTGAGTGACGAATTATTTTGGAACAGGATGAACATTTTCTGCTAAATTTGTAATATCAAGGGCGATTAAGGTTTGCATGCGCTAATAGTTAAAATGAAGGCCATAACTTGAGAGGGAGGGGGAAAGTTTTGAACTTGATTTCAATTTGTTTAATCTAACATATGCATTGTCAAACTGGTGCTTGATTATAAGCTTTTTCAATATATTATAGGAAAGTTCTGAGGGAAACAGCTTCCGGAGAAAGAGATTCCGAAAGGGTAAAGCTCAGATTAGAAGTTAAGGTTGAGGTATGACAAGTTCAAACCTGTAGCCTCGGCCCGTTTTTCACTTTTAAATTCCCCCTTTTGGATCATCACACATTCAAATTATTGACTGCGTGTAAAAAGTGTTACATGTTTGATTTTGTAATTCTTATATGGAATTTAAGGCTTTAGTTGCTCCTCAAATACGTTATGAAGTTTGTATAACAAGCTTTATATAGATATTCTAATAATATTGGATGTTATATTATTGATAGACAATGGAGTATGATAAAGAAGGGTCTGCTTTACGTATTCGGGGAAAGAATGTTCTGGAGAATGAATATGTCAAGGTCTGCAATCATCCAACTCTACTTCTTTTGCCTCTTCATTACTTTAATATTGCAGTTAAAGATATGTTTATGCCTCTGCAGATAGGTGCATTCCACACGCTGGAAATTGAGCCACATCGACCTTTTGTCTTAAGGAAGGTATGCTTATTGGACCAGATCATAGCATTGTCTCGTGATTTAATTTGGCAAAATTCTTCTGTTTGTCTTTGTAGCGTATACATTATCGGTCTTATATTCTATATTCTATGTTTGTTTAATAGAAATGACATTTCAAATGTGAATGGAGTTGACGTATATATTGTATGGCTTAAATGAGCTCTTTGTCATATTTGCTAGGAAGTCTGGGACTCACTTCGCAATTTCCTTTCTCTTGAGCATTGGTCTCCAAAGAATTCAAAAAGCTCTTCAACCCCTACCCCCCAAAAACAAAACTAAAAATAATCCTTCAATGGCAGAAGAAATACCAACACGAGTTGATTTACAAGTTAGAACTCATCGGATCTACAAGTTACAACTCATGGAATTATGTACTTTTGATTTTAAAACTTCAATCTTAATTACATGACTACTTCACAAAAGACTCAGTTGCTGAAAAAAAAAATACTTGGCAAGCTAGAGTGGTGGCCTGTGGGTATTAGCAGTGAAATTACACAAAATAAATTAGTGGAGAGTGGGGGACATCTTTTTTTTTCTCTTTCGACAAGTGTTTGCAGGAAAGTTAATGAAATAGGAAAAGGGCCAAAAAAAAAAAAGAAAGTAATGAAGTGAGATAAAAGCGAACGAATAAAGTGGGGCTTCTAGTATTAGTGTTTTGAAAAGGGCTAATTCCTCTAATTATTGTTTGGAAAAAAAAATCGCAACAACGTTCTGACAAAGGTCTGATACAAAACTATGCCAAGCAAGAGAAATTTTTTTTTTTAAATGTTTGGCTGCCGGCTGCCATGATAAATTTCCAAAATATCTGGCGGCCGTCAAAAGTGAAAAAAAGGGCCTGCATGGCCCCGATGCAAACCAAACAACCGAATACAAATAGTCATCCCTTTTTTTTTTTGTGGGAAACTCAAATGTAGATGCAGATGCAAGTTTAACATGTCAGTAGTTGGACGGATTAGTACTGTGGCAATAGGTAGCTTCTTCTTCCTTTTTTTTTTTTCTTTTTTCGGGTAATACTTGTCCTACTAATACTACTTATAGATTCTTAAAAAAATTTAAAAACCTTTTTAACTTTTATATAAATTTTTTTTTAATGAAAAAGTTGTAAGAACAGGTGAAAATGCAGTGGGACGGAAGTGGAGAGGAAGGTGAGTGGAAAAAAGGTAGGAAGTTATAGGAAGCTTCTTTTTTCCTTCTTACCATTTCAAAGAAGCTGCTGCTGCTGCTGCTATTGCTGCTGATGAGGAAAAGTCCACTCAAAAAAAGGCTGCCGGGCTAATTTGAAGTTTAAAAAAAAAAAAAAAGCTGCAGCCGGCCATCATGGCTGCCTGGCTTACTAAGCCCGGTAGCCTTGAAGTTAAAATAATAAAAAAAAAAAGCTACAGGCTATCTTTTTCTTTTTTTTTTTTTTTTTGTCGATACGATAACTTCCTACACTATGGGAAGGAGCAGAGCCTGAAGAGGTCCTAAGATAACTCAAAAGGGACTGAACCACCATCGGACCAGACGGATGCACTACGCACCTGTCTGAATTTTTTAAGTAAGGCCACATTTAATTGTGACAATTGGTGGGAGGCAAGATTTGAACCCTTGCCTCCCACCTCACCAAACCTTAATGCATTGGTGGTGGCCTGGCAGCTTTTTGTCAACCCGGCAGCCAAACATTTATCAAAAAAAAAAAAAAAATTCTCTTACTTGCCGGGTTTTGTTAGCCCAGCAGACATAGTTTCGTACCAGAACTCTGTCAGAACGTTATTATTGCGATTTTTTTTTAACAATAATAGGAGGAATTAGCCTTTGAAAAGGGAAAGTGTCTCAATATAAGAAAGCAATAGACATGAGTGTATGTAGTAAAATGATAAATCGTAACAAAAAAAATTAAAAAATGGATTATTAAATTTATTTTGTATATTTAATAATCAACTTAGCTAACGGTTGGTCAATGAGCACTCGTCACAAACATTCAAATGTTAGTTTTTTTTTTTTTTTGAAAAAATACAGTGAATTTAGGAAGTGTTTAAATACATGGGGCTCAATAATTATGATTGAATTTATTCATAGGGTAATTTAAGTGTAATTTAGTTGTACTAACAAGTTCTACATTAAAAAAATCTTTTAATAATTATAATTTTTTGTTAATGCGAATGGGTATTAGTTAAGGATTAATCTTTCCTACACTGATAGTGTATAAACTATCAGCGTTGGATGATTGACAACTATGCAAAATTTGAATTTAAAATTTAACTTTTGCACATATATCATGAATCCAATGATGATAGTGTATACACCGTCAATGTAGGAAAGATTTACTCATTAGTTAATGCACTTGATTTATAGCAAAGATTACAATGTGAAAGCACGTACTTATGCTCCTTGTCCTTCTTGAATTTAAGCACTTTCCTTATTTAATTTTAATTTACTAAATAGCTTGCGCATGAGACCTCTCTTGATGGGTCCAAGTGATGAATCCATACTTAGGTTCATACCTTAGATTTTCATATAGGAGATTTCTAACGAGTGCCTATACACCTAAATCATACCTTATTAGCTACATAAATTCACACATTAATAATTATTATCCTATCTTACATTTATATATTTTTTCTAATTAATATTACTTTATTCAAAATATGAACACCTGAAATCCATTATTGGACATTCGTTTGACAGACTCTTTCATAAATAACCATTCTACTCGGAATAACTAACCTGTGATCATAAAAAATTGAACTGAAATTCAAATTAAATAAAATATTTTTATTGATTAAATGCTAGTCAAATTGATTGCAAATTCAAGCATCACAATAGGCAGACCTTTCTGGGATCTACAGCTTCTTTTATCTCGGATCATGCACAATGCAGCAGCATTGAAGACCACTAAATCCAGGAACGCATAAAACATTATTGATGTGCAAGTCCACGTAGCCACACTGCTGGATGCAATCAAGTCTTGTGGTGCATGTACCAACAAACTTGCAATCGCTATACGGTCCATCATCGTCATCGTTAATCTCTGCAACAATATATGTATATATATATACCAATTCACCGTTGAATTATTACTTAATTCGATACCCAATCCAAAAGCAATTAAAATCTTATAATACTCAAAATATATTATTTGTATTGGTAAAAATGCTCTCTTTAATATTTTTATAAGTGCATATATAAGTGTTAAATACAAGATAAAAATCATTCACATGAGAAGAATTATTCGTATATGACAGGAGACAACAAAGCAACCAATTAGTTTGAAAATTTTGGGATTAGCTTCCCCTCCCCGTGAACGGGGTTTGCTTTAAAAAAAAATGTTTGGAAGCCAAGACATCAACATGCCAAGGGCTTAGAATCTGTAGAATAAACAAATAAATTAAACTCCATTTGAAATTCCAACTTGATAAACTTTGAGACTTAAATCAAACACCTAATTTCATTTGCCAAAATCTGTAATCAAAGGCCCGATTGATTTGTGAACTCCACTTTCGAGTTTCTATCAATGTATGATACAGCTTAGATAGAAGCATTACCATTAGAATATCCAGAAAGAAGAAGAGTCATGAGGATGAGTGAAACCAATTGAACCCTTCTTGATGCCATTGTGCTGTATGTGGATGCCAAACCAATATGAACAGCAAATACAACAGAACTTGCCTTACCTATTTATAACGATGTGGATGCCAAACCAATAATTAGAAACGTGTCATCACTTATGTGGTTCAGATTTAGGTTCAGGTTGACCTGTATACACACTTTGACAAATGGCTTATCCGTATATTAAAGCTTTGGAAAATCCGATTCATCATCTTCGAGTGCGACAATTCGCAGATTAATTGGCTATTGTCGTTTTTTGCTTTTTTTTTTTTTTTCTTGAGTGGTTTTTGATGTGGAACCATTTCTAAATGAAACTGATAGAAGACCAACTTTCAAAAAAGATTTACCAACCGTTTGGTTGGTGGGTTTTCTACTCTTCAATGGGTATAGAAAGTGCTTTATACCCATAGATGATGTTTGATATACTTCTATGGGTATTGTTCAATCACAATCAAAAACCCAAAAGTAGGTGATGGTCATTACTGACCAATTTGTCGGGGAATGAACCCCATTGACGAATTTAACACTAAATGACATAAGAAAAATACAAAAAAGAATGAAGATACGGCTATCTGTCCATAGCGACGCCAGTCTTTCTTTCTTTCTTCTTGTACTCTTTTTTTTCCCCTTTTTTCCTTTTCTTTTTGTGTTTTTGTAAGCATACTCATGTTCCTTCCTTTCCTTTATTCTCTCCTCCAATCTTTTTCTTTCTCTTTTCTTTTGATGGCCAGTAGGTGCGGTGGTGTTGGTGGCCATTGTTGCTTGGGTGAAGCTTTTTTTTTTTTGGCAATTATTGTGACTTTGACAAACTTTTCTTTATGAAACCTTAACACCCTTAATTTTGTGATTTGCAGGCAAAACATAGCATCACCTTGTGTGTGTGTGTGTGTGTTTTTTTTTTTGGTCTTCAAGATTTTAAGTTTGACTCCATGTGTTATTGGACAATTTGATGTCAAATTAATTTTAAATTTAACTTCTCTAAAGTGAGATGATTGTTTTGATAGTCATTTGGCTTATAAATTTTTTGAACTAGTTGAAGTGGTGGACTTGCCACGTTGGTGGTGATGGTGGTTGGGGTTTAGTATTGGAATTTAGGAAGAAGAAGGGAAAAAGAAAAAAAAATTAAAATTTTGAAAACCCATTCCTTTTGATTAAATACCAAACAATCAATAAGGTTTTGGCAATACTCATTGCCATTGAAGAATTTTTGATAGCCATTGCTATTGCTATTCCGTAGTGTATGCCAAACAGCTGGTTAGATATGGCAACCAACCCACCCTGAGGAGGAGAAATGAGGCAGGGGTGGGAGTGGGGGATTTTTTTTAACCCTGCCTCAAATGGGGCAAGGGATGGGGGAACGTACCACGATCCATCCCTCGTTTTAATTTTGACATATTATAACATCTATGTATGTTTATATATATATACACACATACATACACACACAAACTAAAAGGAATCAGGCTGTGCAAGCACAGCTTATCCCTACCTATAAAATTCTGGTTAAAATGCATCACATTATAATTTGCTTTCAAATTAAGAGCAATTACAATTCCTAAAAAATGAGCCTAAAAAATAAGGTTTATTTTTAGTAGAATGTTCCAAAAGTTTGCTCCAACTTGCCTATTGTAATGTAGTAGAGATATATTGTTGTATTGTATGGATAAATAACAATAAAGAATTTAAAAACCAAACACATGAAAAATGCAAAACCAGTTCAATGTTAACATAAATGGTATATGCTTCATAAAACTCAAATATCATGCTATTATAATTACAAATCCATAAAATTTCACCACTCTTTCTTTTCAAATAAGACACCATCATGTAAAAACTCCCATCTTACAATTTCACAATAAAACTTGGAAGAAATTGAAATGGAAGGTTTTCAATGCATAAAAAGGGTACAAAAATTTAGTACCAAAGAATTACTAGATGAAGTGTTAGATTTAATTATGCATTGAAAGGGAACTAAAACGTCAGAAATGCACAACACAAATTTTGCATTTAGATTTAAGACAAACCTCACAAAAGGAAAATTGACTTGCAGAACCAAAATAATTGAAGGCTTAATGAATATCAAGGAGATCAAGCCAAAATAAATAAATAAATACATCATGGTAACATGATAAAGAGGGAAAAAAAGAAAAATGATAAAGGCTAAATAAAGTACAGTTAGCGAAAAAAAAAACTTGAGTCCACATATGGCAGCATGAAACGGGGGTAAAAATAGGAATAAAAAGGAAACCAAACACACCAGATAGTAGGAGTAGCGGAGGTAAAAAATCTATTCTCTATGTTTCTGCTAAAAAAAAGATGATCATGAATCATGATTTTTGAACAAAGAAAGAAAAGAAATATCCATTCTCGTGCAAGAAAAACATATAGTCATTTAATTATAGAGAGAAAAGGAAAAGATGCACCGACTGAGTAGGTGGAAAAGCAGAGAAAAATTGGGATGAAAGAAAAGAAGAGGGGAAAAAGCAAAATATTGGATTTAAAAGTTAAAATTGATGGAGGAGGAAGTGACAAAATAAATCAATTAATTGTTGTGATACATTTCCGTAGTCAACAATAATCACCTAAAAACATAGTAAGAAAATAATCTTAATATAATTAATTATAAAGAAAAAAATTTGAATGGGAAAAAAGAAAGATGAAGAAAAAAGAAGGAGATGAGGGTTGAAGATAGAGGCAGAAAAAGGAAGAAGAGAAAAATTGGAAGGAGAGATGTTTATGACTTTTGGTTAGCCAAAGAACATGGTGGAGCAAAAAATCCAACTAAAAATAAAAAATGACACTTGTCAAAAGAAGAGGCTATACACATGGCAAAAAGAGAGATTGCTACAGTAACCTCTCTTTCTTTGTATATACAAGACAAGATATACAATACAATAAAACTAGCCTCTAGCTTCCTATCCTTGTCACCCAATATTTCTCTATTATATTTCTTTATTATTTATTCAAAATATAACTTAGCATATGTTTATGTTACACTATTATAAAGTGAATTTGGCTAGTAAAATATAAAAATGAAAATTCAATACAAAAGTATAAAAACACCAAATTTAGTTAATTTTGAATTGAAAGATTTCAAATTTTCAAAGGAGAAATATTGTTGTTGAATCTATATTCAACCTCCAAATTGAAAAGTTAAAATTTGAAGCCAAAAAAATCCATAACTTGCAATTTGGTTTTACAATTTTAAAATGTACTTATATTTGTATTTTCAAAATAAATTTGAAAAGATAAAATTTGAAGCAAAAGAGAAAAAGAAAACCATCACCTACAATTCTATTTAAACATTTTTACTATATATTTAGCTTACCTCTCATAACATGAAAAGCATATAAAACCAAAGATTGATCACAATGAATGCAAATATTGGCATTTAAAAATGCAAACAAAAAACTGATAATATCTTATAAACTAACTACCAAAAAAATAAAAATAACATAGCAATTGTAGATTTACATATGAAGAAGACAATAAGAGTACATAAAATAATCAATAATACCCAATGCTAATCTTAGCGTTTGGATTTTGCACTCTTATTCAAATTTAATTAAGGTCGAATTTGGATCAAATGTATACAAATTAAATAGATATAGTTAAGGGTCAAAAGTTCCATATCTTTGCTTTAAATTGCATTGTTATTTTTTAAATTTTTGGTAGAATTGGTGTTGTTTTTAATATTATTTTTCATCAAAAATACAGATTTCGAATAAAAATTTTCATGTTGAAACGCCAATACTACTTTTTTTTTATTTAGTGATTTCATAATTTAAGATTCACAAATGGTATCATTCCTGATTTTTTTAATCCATGACCAATGAATATTATTTTCTTTATGTTTTCTATATAACTTGTCCTTTTAGTTAGGATTACTAAGTTGAAGCTAAAATATTGTTATTTACTTTTCTACTTTTAGTAAGTTTGGTGATGTCTCTTTATTTACCTCAAATAAATGGATTTCAAATCAAATCCTTCTATAAGTGGACCCATTTCATACTTTTTAAATTCAAAAGAGATATGAAAGGATACATAACAATTAAAGAAATTTAAAATTCTATTTAAAAAAGGAATGAGTTAGGAGCATTCTAATTTAACCATTCGAAAAACCGTTCCTGCAATACATATATATATATATATCTCCATAAAATAATACTCGATAAATTAATAAACTCTATTAAAAATAATTTTTTCTAGTCTCGACTTGGGCTAGCGAGCTAAATTAATAATTTTGATAAAATAATAAGATAATAATTTTTTTGGAAAACTTTATATAGTCCTTTGGACCTATTCATATAATAAATTAATAACTTACTAAAATTACATATTATATTTTTCTAAAATATGAGTTTATTGTTGTTTTTTTTTCTTAAAGTTTAAATCTAACTAAATCTCATCCAAAATCAACCATGACTGATCACAAATGCGTAAAGCATTATGTGGGTGAATATAATTGAAAACATCCAATATACAAATGGGCATCTATCTTTTTGATATCTATCATTTAGTATTCCTAAATCTTTTTGACATTTTGATAATAGAAAAATCATATCAATTACTACATAATTGAAGATATTCATAGAATTAAATTATACATACAAATTGATGAGCGCAGGGTATACATATAATAATAATGCTCATTCCACAGTTAAATTTTACATTTATAACATTCTAAATACCCCACACGCTATTTTCCGCAAGTATACGAATCGAGAGCGAGTATAGGGTATTAAGGGTCGATCTCTCAAGAAAGACGGGCAAGCACTGGCACTACTAAAGTTTCTCTATTATTTAGACTATCAACAAATTAAAACAAATAAACTAAGATATAAATGGATAGATAAATGAAAATAAAAGCTCCTTGGGTAATGGAATCCCTACCTATTCATGCTATTACAACTCCCTAACCAAATGAGTACCAAAATCTCGGCTAAGTTATGACGTAATTTCCTAATATACGTGATACCCACTTTTATCGGTGTACCAACTATACCTATAGTTAACTCATATC